GGGGATGTTTGAGCCCCCCCAGGCCAGCCCTGCTCCCAGAGCACGGGGGGGGACACGAGGTGACATCACGAGGGGACGTGGGTGTCTGTCAGCCCCGATGGGGGGGGTCAGTGGTCCCATCCTGCTCCGGGGTCCTGCTGGGGGGAGAAAAGGAGGATGAGGACGGAACCGTCTCCCTCTGGGGGTGGAGGGACAAGGACGGAGCCTCCCGGGGGCTGGGACACACCTGGGACACACCCGGGACTCACCTGGGACTCTCCAGGTCACACCTTCGCCTGCACCTCGCAGTAGATGGTCCTGGGCCCGTCCTGCTGCTCGGGGGCAGAAAACAGGTCAGACCCTCGGGAAGGGGGGTGGGCGAGGTGGGACAACTCTCCCCAGGGACTTGGTGGCCCTGGGAAGTGCCCTTTGGTGTCCCCTCCCCTGGGAAGCCCCCCTGGAGTTCGGAGCCACTTCCAGGGGAGGAGGAAAGGGGAGCTCTGGGGGCACAGAGGGACCCCCCAGTGCTGCAGGGAAGGGGTGGAAGGTGGAGTTGGACTCAGAATGAATCAAATTTGCCCCTGGATCCCCCTCCAGACTCACAAACTCCCGAGGCTCCGGGGAGTTTCTCCTCTGGATCTCGGAGTACAAGAGCTCCAGTGGGGGATCCTCGCTGGAGAGGGGGGCGAGGGCACCTACGGAGAGAAAAAGAGCAAGAGCAGTGATCCCAGGGGTGCTGGAGGGAGCTGGGATGCATGGAAGGGGGGCACAGAGCCACCCTGGCCCAGGCAGGGCAGGCAGAATCCCAGAATCCCAATTTAGGTTGGAAAAGACCTGTGAGGTCATCGAGTCCACGCTGTGCAGTGTCCCCAGCCCAGAGCACCGAGTGTCCAGCCCTTCCTTGGACATCTCCACCCTTTCCAGGAACAAATCCCTCCTCGTGTCCGACCTGAACCTCTCCTGGCGCAGCCTGAGGCCGTTTCCTCTTGTCCTGTCCCTTGTTCCCTTCCAGTGCCCGACAACCCTTTCCAGAAAGAAAAGAACCGGAGTGAGGGGAAAAGCTCTTTCCCCCTTTCCCAGCTTTATTGATCCCAGCTCTGAGCTGGGTGGTGCCCACCTCCCTCAGACTTCTTCCTCCTCCTCCTCCTCCTCCTCCTCCTCCTCCTCCAGATCCAGGCGATGCCAAGCAGGGCCAAAATGCCCACGGCCACCAGCACCAGGAACACGTGTCTCCCCTGACTGGCCCCCGTGTCTGCAGGGACAAGCCGTGGTGGGTGCCAGGACCCTCCTGGGGGGTGAATCTGGGCACAGGAGGGGTTTTTACCCTGCTGCTGGCACAGGGTGTCCAGGTGGACGGAGACATTCCGCTCCTGAGCGGGATTCCGGGCCAGGCAGGTGTAGGTGGAGCTGAAGGCAGCAACGGGCAGGGCCAGGCACAGGGTCTGGTTGTCCCCGCAGAGCCGCGCCTGTGGCACCCCCTGAGAGCTCCCGAGCTGCCAGGTGACAGTGGCATCGCTGCCCGGGGCCGCCTGGCACCGCAGGGTGAGGTTGCATTCCTGGGGGGTGAGGGAGAGCTGCCGCCCCTGGATCTGCGGCTCCGGCACCGGATCTGTTGGAGGCGCAAACAAACCTGTCACACACACACGACCAAGAAAAAGGTGGAAGGGCAGAGCGAGGAAAAGGGGAAGCGCCGGGGTCGCGGTTCGTCACGGAGCCGGGACAATCCCCGTGAGACAATCCCCGTGACGGACGCGCGGCGGCCGGAGCGGTTTCCCTTCCCCTTTCCCCGCGCTCACACCTCCGGGCGCCGGGGAGCTGGAAAGCCGCTTCCAGGAACTGCTGCTCTGCAAACACCCACCGTAGACGGAGAGGGCGAAGAGTTGTGTCTCCACCTTCGTTGGGTGCAGTATAATCCGAGCCTCGTAGATGCCGCTGTCGCCCCTCTCCAGGGTCCCGATCCTCAGCGCTGTCTCGTTCACCTCCAACCGGTCCCCGAATCGATCCTGGGGGTTGGAGCGCTCGAATTCACCGTGGTGGAACTCGGCCACGAGGTTCTTGACACTGTTGACATCTAAAAATGCCCAGTCGACCGCCTTAACCGTCTCGTTGGGGAGCAGATCCAGGGAGAGCAGCGCGGACCCCCCCAGGACACCGTTCACCTGCCGGGTCCGAGTGGCCGCAGTACCTGATGGGGACAGAGATAATCTGGGGGCTGGAGACCCCCAGCAACCCCCCCCCCCAGTCCCTTCCCTCGCCCCCCTCCCTCCCGAGGGACCCGTGGGCAGCTGCCCACCGGGGCCTGAGTCACGGGAGCGCGGCGCCCGCCTGGGATGATTCATTTAATCCCACACCCATCCCCTCTTCCTGGCGGCGTTCCCGGCACGCAGGGACCACCCGCGGGGCTGGGAACACCCCGAGGGCTCGCGGGGCCTCGTCCCGGTGTCCCGGCGTCACCCCGTGTCCCCCCATGTCCCCCCCACACACGCGCGGGTCACCCCCACAGCAGGGACGCCGCGGTCCCCGTCGTCTCTAAGCCCCAATTAAGGCTCAAACCGGGCGGGTTTAAAGTTAAACCTTCAGGAAATGTCCCCGGGGGTCAGGGACCAAGCGTGGGGCTGGATGTCCCCGGGGTCGGGGGTTGCTGGGGGCCCACGGTGCCTTGTCCCGGTGTCACCCCGTGTCCCCCTACACGTGCACAGGTCACCCCCCAAAAATGGACGAGACGGGGAGCGTTCTCCCCACCGTGTCTAAGCCCAAGTGGGGCTCAAACCGGGCAGCATTAAAGTTTAAACCTCCAGGAAATGTCCCAGGGGTCGGGGACCAGCCAGGGACCACCCTCAGGGCTGGGATACCCCCGGGGTCTGGGGGCTGCTGGGGGCTCACGATGCCTTGTCCCAGTGTCACCCCACGCGTGCAAAGGTCACCCCCGCCACAGAGGAAACTCTCCCCACCGTGTGGGGCTGAAACCGGGGCAGGTTTCGGGTTTAAACCTTCGGGAAACTTCCCCCGTGGTGGGGACAGGGACCCTCCACCCCGGTGCTCTGGGGCAGCTCAGCTACTCAACCCTCTCCCACCCCCCATCCCCGGGGGGGCACCGAGTCGCTCCACTCGGGCTCTGAGACCCCGAAATCCGCCAGGAGCCCCCCGCAGCCTCCCCCGGGGGCAGCGACAGACGGTTCCCACACCGCAACCCCGTCCTGCCCGCGGGCGGCTCGCTCGGCGCCGGCCCCGCTCTCGCTCTCTCCGCAGCCGCTCGGCTTTGCAGAGACGGAGGCGAGGCGAGGGGAAAAAAGGGGGGGGCTGAGAAACCGCAGCCCCCGCTGCTGCAGCCTCGGGGGGGTCATTGCCCACCTCCCCCTCCCTCTCCCCGGCTCACGGGATGCGCTGCCCCGGCTGTGCGGGAGGAGGGGGGGGCTCGCTCGGGGACCCCCACACAGGGGGTGAGAGGGGCCGGGGAGCGCCCGGTGGGGTAAGAGGGGTTAAACACCCACCCCTTGCCCGGTCCCTGCGCCCGGAGTGTTTCCCGGGTACCCCCGAGGGCTGCAGGATGCGATTCCTACACCCCCCTCCCCCGAGGAAGCAGGTACGTGACGGGGATGCTGCAGCCGGGGCAACCTTCGACCTCCCTCTTCCTCCCCAAGGACACACCCCGGGAAACCCGGAGAGGTCCCTCTTTGCCACAATTAATTTCCCCTTTTTTTATTTTTCCCAGCCAAGGGGTCCCAACGGCCCCCCCAGGGGCGACCCAGCCCCGGGCCCTGGGATCCGGCCCCACCAGGCACCACAAAACCTCTCGGGGATGGATTTTTGGCGGCAGGAAATCAGGGAGGGGAGGCTGAGCAACAACCCCTCCACACACACCGAGGGACCACCGGTGTCCCGGGGCATCATTCCTGCTCCTTCCCAGAGGGAAAGGCTGTTCCCCCCCCGGACACCTCATGGATTTCCCCCCAAAGTTCATTTTGCGGCCGGGACCCGAAGTCGCGCTCTCAGTTCTCTCCCACCGCTCCCAGGTCTCCAAAAAAAAACCGGGGGGTTGCTAAAAAATGGGGGTCACGAGCGCTGGAACGTCGGGATCCCCTCCCAGCCCGGCTCTTTTCCCACCTTCCCGGACCCACCTGCCACTGCCAGGAGCAGGACCAGCAGCCGGGAGACGCGGGGCCGGGAGGAGCCGGGCCACGTCCCCATCCCTCCAAAGCCACCCAGTTCAGCTCTGAGCGCTCGGGGGAAGGGAACGAGAATCGAAAACCACCTTGCAGGGGAGTGGCAAAGCGCAGGACACACCGCGGGGACGACGCCGAGCCCCGGGGGTCGCTGCCCCAAACCCCCGGCGGGGGTCAGGGGCGATCCGTCCCTCCCGCTGCCCCCGGGGTTCGGAGCCGCTTCCCAAAGCGCTGCTGCCGCCCAGCCTTTGTTTCCCACCTGGAATCAGGTGCGATAAGAGCGAGAACGAACAGGATGCTGCGGGCACTGGGCAAACAACACCAGCTGGTGCCACAAGCCGAGTCCTTGTTCCCGTGGCGGGCACGGGCTGGGCGGCACGAGGGGTTGGCCTGGCTGGAAATCGAGGGGAGGGGGTCCCTGTGGGCTTGGGAATGTCCCAGTTGGGCCTCTTGCACCTGGGATGCTCCCGAACCCCAAACTTGGGGTGTCCCATCTGCCACTCCCAGGATGCTCCTGTGCCCTGCATCCCGAGTGTCTCCCGTATCCCGGGTGTCCTGTCCCCCATATCCGGGGTGTCCTGTTCCCCATATCCAGGG